GTGGTTAGAAATAGTTTCTTCTATATGCACACACGAACATTTTTGTGGGTACACAATCCACAGTTTTCAATGACTTTTCAGAGGAGTATATTATCTCTATAATGTTAAGTAACATACTATAAATCAAAACCTGACCCATGGGGCCAGGTTGAGGAATAAACACCTTCTCTTCCTGTGATCTGCTTTTGGATACTTGTGTTCCTGTATTTTCCTTGAAGATTCCTTTCTCGCTAAAGAACAGATTCATGTAAAAATATGTTCATGAGCCACTGACCCCCTTGGTTTACTAAAAGATTCCTACTCTAAACAGTTTATCACTTACTTTTCTTAGAACAATGTTGTTATGTAATAAATATAAGTTGATAAATTATTGATACATTCAATGGCTTCACTAGAGAAAACTGTCTGCTTTTTTTTTTTTTGTACTGGTGAATGAACTGATCAGGACCTTTTGCTTGTGAGGCAGGTGTGGTGCCACTGAGCTAAATCCCGGGCCCTGCTTTTCACATCTGAAAACTATAAAGTGTGTTATCTTTCTGTCACTATTCACTGAGATAATCAACTTATAAGGCAAAAGGTTTATTTTGGCTTATGGCTTCTGAGGTTTCAGTCCACTGTAGCTTGGCCCTATTGCTTTAGGCCCAAAGGCTGGAAAGGAAATAGAGAGACAGGAAGGAAGCAGGGTCTCAATATCCTCTTCAAAGGCCAGTCATTGATGATGCAACTTCCTTTCACTAGGCCCCACATCTTTAAGGTTCTACTTCCCAAAGGCACCACAGGCTGGCAACAAATCCCTTAACACACTGGCATTTGGGAGATGTATTAGTTACCTTTCTGTTTCTGGGACAAAATACATGACATATGCAACTTACAGAAGAAAAGATTTATTTTGGCTCACAGTTTCAGATGTTTCACTTCATGGCTCCAAGGTAAAACATCGTGGTAGAAGGGTATGGTGGGGAAAGCTCCTCACCTCATGGCAGCCAGAAGCGAAGTGAAGCAAAGATAAGAGAGGAGACAAAGGACAAGAATATGGCCTTCATGTTACACCCACAGTAGCCTACTTTCTTCAACTAGGCCCTGCTTCTTAACAGCATATTCAGCTATGATGAGGTTAATGCCCCATGATTTAATAACCTTTCTGAAGGCCCACCTCTGAACACACAAGTTTGATTCAAGCCATAACGGGGAACATTCTAGATTCAAGGTACAGCAGGAACCATCTGCATTTTCTAACTTTAGAAGCTGCCATCTTCTTAAAGACAAAGGTCTTTAAACAGTCTAGTGCTTGTGTTAATATAGTACAGTATTATGGAATGAATATGGGTTGGTAAATTACTGATGCATTTAGTGGCAACATTTTATTTAAAAATATTCAAATTCTAAGTCTCAGTTCATGAAAAAGGCTCTGTCACTCCAAGTTAAATGTTGCCCCTTCAGAGAAAATGACTCTGATCATACAATCCACATCAATTTTAAATCCTTTCCTCTTTTGGGGGGCATAATTATTACTATCTGACATTGTATTATAGATTTAGTTGTTTCCTATTTCAGTAGTATATAAGTAATATATAAGCTTCATGACAGCAATGGCCTTATTTCTTTGATCACCAACATATCTCCAGTGCACTTATACCTCATTCACAATTATTGAGTTAATGATTAGATGGCCCATTTCCATGTTAATGTTCCAGCCAGGCATGTAACAGTCTGTGTTAGTCACCTTCTCACTGAGAAATAGTACCTGACACTCAAAAATTAAAGGAGGAGAGGTTTATTTTAGCTCATAGTTTCAGAAGTTTCAGTCTATGTCTGACAGTCTTAAACACAGAAACAGTATGGTGGAAGAACCTTGGCAAAGGAAAGTTGTTCACATCATGGCCACCAGGAAGCAGAGAAAAAGGATGAGCCCGGGAGGGTGATATAGCCTTCCAGGCCACACCCCAGTGACCCACCTCTTCCAACCAGACCCCACCTCCAAACAGCAAGTCAGCTATATCACCCCCATGATTTCAATCACCTTCCAAAAGTGGCCTTTAGGGTACATGCTCAACCTAAATCATAATACAGGCACATGGCTTACATCTGAATTCACTGACAGGGACTGGCTAATATTGAACTTTACAAATAAATAATAAATAAATCACCCTGACCATTGTGTCTGGAGAGAGAAAGCATATAGGAGTGCATCCTAGGATACATTATTAACACATAACACATTTAAAATTGATTTTTAGAAAAGACTTTTTCTCACAGGGTTCATTTATCACTATTTTGGGTTGCCAAGAGCAGACTGTACATTTTCCTTTTTAAAATTTTTTTATTGTGTTTGCAATACATATTAATTGCATTCATCTTGGGGAATCAGTACATATACACATCACATCTTAATAATTTTTACTTTCCCTTTCCCTCCTGGAACTCCCCTCTTCTCCTATTCCCAAATCTCCTTCCCGTTTCCACAGTCTACCTCGTTTCCTATCATATCTCTTTTATTTTGCTCATTAAATTAGTTATATTTTTGGTTTCTCATATAAGAGATGTGACATTCAACTTTCTGTGTCTTATTTTGCTTAGCATTTTGATCTCAAAATGCATTTACTTTCTTACAAATGGCTCAAATTTATCATTCTTTATGGGTGGTGTGTGTGTGTGTGTGTGTGTGTGTGTGTGTGTGTATCACATTTTCTTTATTCATTCATCTGTTGATGGACATATAGGCCACTATTATGAGTTAGGCTGCTATAAACTTAGGTATGGATGTATCACTGTAATATGATGCCTTTAGCTCTTTTGGAAAGATAACCAGAAGAGGTATAGCTGTGTCAAATGGAATTGCTAGTTTTAGGTTTTTTTGAGGAATCTGAATACTGATTTCCTAGTGGTTCTAGTAGTTTACATTTCCACAAACAATGTAGAAGGGTCCCTTTTTCCCCAAAACCTCTCCAGCATTTTTAAATTATTAATGATTGCCATTATTTCTGGAAAAAGATAGAATCTCAGTGTTTTCTTGATTGCATTTCTCTAATGGCCAAAAATGCTGAACATTTTTCCAAGTATTGATGGGGCATTTGTACTTGTTTTGAGAATGTTTATTCATTTCAATTGCCATTTTTTGATTGGATATTTTATTTTGGCAGGTCTAATTTTTTTTAGTTCTTTATATACAGTATTCTAGATATTAGTCCTCTGTTCAAGAAGTAGCTAGCAAAACCTTTTTCTCATTCTATAGGTTTTCTTCACTCTATTAGTTGTTTGTCTTGCTATGCAAAGTTTTTAAATTTGATATAATCCAATTTATTGATTCTTGGTATTATTTCTTTGCCATTGGGGTTTTGTTGAGAAAGTCCACGCCTACACCTAAGTCTTCAACAGTTTTATCTATTTTATCTTCCAGCAGGTATAGTATATGTTTTAATATCAAAGTTTTTGATCTTTTTAAATTTTAATTTAGTACAGGGTGACAGATATGGTTCTAGACTCATTCTTCTGCATGCGGATAACCCGTTTTCCCAGCACTATTTGTAAAGAGGCTATCTTTCCTCAAGAGTATGTTTTTGTCCTCTTTATCAAAGATCAGACAGCTGAATATGCCTGTGGTTACTTCTGCATCCTCCTTCTACTCCATTGATCAATGTGTCTATTTTTATGGCAGTACCATGTTGTTTTTAATCACTGTAGCTGTGTAGTATAACTTGAAAACCAGGATTGTAATGCCTCCTGCTTTGTTCTTGTTGCTCGAGATTACTTTGGCTACTCCAGGTCTCTTAGCTTGCACATTTTCAAACTTTGGAATCTCTTAAATCCTCAAGAATAAAAGTCCATTTGTAACTGCTAGGATATATTCAACAATACAATTCTATCTATTCATGCTACTATATGTGAAATTTGTTTATATTTCACTTTTGAGGTTTAATGTTTTCTTGATCTTTTTCTACCTAACAATATTTTCAAGTGTTCATTCAAATTCTTTCATTACTTAACACAACATTCCTTCTTTGACTTCCCCACCAAAATTAAGAGCCGTTTTGTCTGTGTTCCCAGCCGATACCATCAGTTATTGTTTATTTCCTATGCAAGCACTCTACCACTAAGCTACATCCTCAACTCCTGTTTCTTTCTTATTCTTGTAATAAGCAATGTCCATATTGATTTATCTCATAAGCTGTAAGCTTTTTAAGGTTGGGAGCCAGATCTTTGTCATTATTGTAATATTCCTTTCATTTTCAATGTTTAGCATAATTATATAGTATATCATTATACATAGAACCACTCAAAACGTTTCTAACTTAGGTTAAATTTATTTGTATGTATATTATTAAATCAACTCTTAAAAAATCACCCACAGTATTTTACCTTCACTTAATCCAGTATCCTATGTACACTTGAAGTTTAACTACCAGAAAGTCTTTCCAAAGGTAGATTGGGTCTTTTTGTTGTTGTTGCTTTTGTGAAAAATCTTTTTCTGTCATTTTTCTCATCTCTTATTTGTTTCATGTATAGAGTGGTTTTTCGTCCCTAATCAAGATACTAGGTCAGAAAGCAAGTATTGAAATACCTGCAGTAACCAGGGAAGTTGGTATAACTAGGCTACGTTGGGAAAATGGTACGGGCTGTGGTGTTTCAAATAAACTGGAGGGTCCAATTGCTATCTAAGCTGGCTACAAGCAATGGTTCCCATGCCAGAACAGAGGCTCAAGTTGTCACGTTTTCTTATCTTCTATTCAGATGCCTGCAGTAACCAGGGAAATTAGTATAACTTTGCTACATTGGGAAAACAGTAAGGGCTGTGGTGTTTCAAATAAACTGGATGGCCTAATTGCTATCTAACCTGCCTACAAGCAATGGTTCCCATGCCAGAACACAGGCTCAGTGTTGTCACGTTTATCTTTCGAAAGAAATCTTTTTTTAAAAGTGTAAAATTAATTCAAGTAAAGAAGATGACAGAAGATGTAATTACGTTGTGTTTCAAAATTGAATTGGCTTTTATTTGCAATTCTAGAATTGGGCAGCATTTCATTCTATAAACAGAAGCAGTGCACTATTGGGGATTGCAAAATCCTTGGCTTTTACAAAGTAAGAACAAAGAAACAGAACACTAAAAGAAAGCAGCAGATTAACATCAGGTTATTTAAAAGGGTCAAAGCAGAAGGAATTACCTAATTTCACTGACTCAGGTTGGCTGAATCCTTTCCAATTGGTTGCTGTGAATAAAGATCTACTTGTTTCTTTAATGTTTGATCATATAGCACTTGGTGTCAACAACTCCATTTTAGTTTGGTCTGGGCAGGAGCTCAATTCAAAAGCAGTGGCCTCCCATAAAATTTGTCTGACAGGGAAAAAATAGTTGTTTACTAAACAAATCTATAGGCAAGCCTTATTACACAGCAGCCACAAATGTAGAACTCTTATGTTAGGTAAATATCATTTAAACCACATTTTTGTTTTCATCAGAAATGAACGTAAATGTTTTAATTTCAAAAGTTATGAAATAAGGGGCTGGGGATTTGGCTCAGTGGTTTCGCCACCTGCTGCACAAGCGCAAGGACCGGAGTTTGATCCCCAGTACCAAAAAAAACCCAACAACAACAAAAAGTTATGAAATAAGAACAATAACAAGGGAGGAAAAAAAAGAAGAAATGCGATTTAAAAAGTAGGAGGCAAACAACAGGTATATAAAACAATACTCACATATAGATGGCTTTAATGATTAGAGTCTAATAATTTCTGTCCTTACACTGTGGCACTTCCAGTGGATCTATCAGGAAATGGAAATTATCTTTCCCAAATGTGTTCATCTTCCACAAGCCAATATTTATTTATGACACCGGAAGGAACAAAATTGAACAACTAGTCAGATTTTCTTCTCATTGGCTAAGTTTACTAGAACAGAGGCTTTCAAACTTTTATCAAATATCAAAATGATTATAGGACTTGTTAAAAACCTAGATTACTAAAACCCTCCTAGAATGTCTGATCCAGAAGGTGGCCCTAGAGAATGTGCATTTCCAGGCTAGATGGTGCTGATGTGGTTGCTTGGAAGACTGTGCTTTGAGAATCACTAGATTTGAGATTCCCATGAAGGCTGATTTACAAGTGCGACCACCGCGATTTATGTTTGGAAGAGCTAACAGCCCCCAACATAAACACTACACGCTGGCACATCAAAGTGTACCTCCGGGAACCTACAGATATTCTCATTTATTCTGCATCCTTATCTTGTTAAATGAAATTAATGGAAGGTCATAACTTTGGTCTAGTCTCCTGCACCAGACTCCAGCAGACCAGAACAAAACAGAAAGAAGTCACTTATCCTAAATGCCCATTTAATCAAATTGACTCTTGAAATGGGCCAGTTTTCCAAAACAGTAGGAGAGGCACTGTAACCAATCAGAAGGGGTCCAATTTACCTGAGACAGCATGACAAAAACGTCTTTTTGTTTTAACTCTCTAAGGAAAGCAACTCTGAAACACCAATCTTACTGTTCCTTTCCTATGCTTCCTTGAACCCCTTTCTGCCTATAAAGCCAATCAGGTTGTGCGAGCTGTTTCACAAAATGAGATGCTACCTGGATTCACGAATCAGAAATAAAGGCCAATTAGAGCTGTAAGGTTGTTGTAACCTTGTTTTTCAATACCTTGTATTATAAAAACTTTTATATCTTTCTCCTCCCCTTGCCAGTGAACACCTTCCTAACCTATTCGGCCAGGTTGTGGCCATTCAGTGCTCCATAAAACCGGACCCTCATCAGTTGCTGAGCCCTTGGGCCTCCCTCACTTGCGTCGGATAATGCCTCGATTTACTTCAAAGGCTATGGTATCCATTTCCCTCAGAGAAGAGGATCATTTTTAGAAATGTTTACAAAGATACCGTAAACTTGCTTCGTAGGAGTCACAGCCAGTTAGCAAGCAAGCAAACACATGACTTGAAAAAATCCATCCTCTGCCGCCCCTTCAGGCGACCAAACGAAGGGGGCGTGACCTGGAGCGCGGTGACCACGTGACCGCGGAAAGCTGCGAGCTGCGGAGTCGCGCGATCCGCCGTCATATCAGCTTATGGCGCCGGGCGCTGATTGGTTGCCGCGCTCGAGGCTCAGGCCCTCCCCTCAGGCGAGTTGGCTCTCGGAAGCCAGGCGCTGCACAAAACCAAGCGGCGCTGTGTGAAGCAACGCACAGCCCTGTCCAGGTAGGTGAGAGTGCACGGAGCCCGCAAGCGGACTACGCCTGCGACACAGCCCCAGAGCGGGAGCCAGTGCCAGTGCCCCGACCTTCCTTTCTCTCGACGTCGCAGGGGTCTCTTACCTGCCTCCCAGGTGCCAGGCGCCTGGCAAGTCCCGGGCGCGCCGTGGCGACCACCTCCGGTAGCACGGGCTGGGGGCTGGGGACCGGGAGCCGGGCGTTCGTTCCGAGCACCGCTGGAAGGGCCGCGCTGGGACTGAGTGGGTGCGGGCCCGATCGTGAGGGGAGTCTGGCACTTGCGGCTGAGTCGCCTCAGGCGGCGCGCTTGGTTGGAGGCAAGGTCCCGGCGCCCAGCGGGAGGCCTGGACGGGGAGGAAAGTGGCGCGGTTTGGGCCAGAAGGACAGGGCAGTGTTTGGTTTTGGCTGTATCGGGAAGTGTGGCCCCTGAATACTGTCATGCTTTACTTTGCGACTGATTTCCCTCCATTCTAGAGGTGGTTTGTTTTTTTTTTAAGGGGCAAAGGAGTCAGGCCGAAGAATTGGTCAGTATCTGTCATTTCTGCAGTGTAATTAGGATAGAGAGATAGAAGGGAGCAGGAAATTATTACTTTAGCATCGTAAAAAGAAAATGTATGTATTCTGACATCCCTGTGTTATTGCAAAGTGATTGTGAAGATGGTATAGATGAAAACATTCCCTCGGTAGAGAAAGTTATCGAACTGGAAAGTTTTTGTCAACCTGGTCTTGTTAACTGGAACCGAGTATGTGGTCACCTTTATATCACTATCATTTCTTTTTCAGTTACTTAAGGTAAACATCTAATACTAAATAAATGACCCATAATTATTTACAGAGTGCTTTTCTGCTCGTTATGTAATGTAATTACTCAGAATTCCTCAGTGGTATATATGACATCTTGAGATAATGTAGTAGGTAAAAGAACAGGCTATAGAATGTACTGTACATGATAACTGGTACTTGTTAATGGAAAAATTATTTAAATATTCTTGATCTCTGTTTCCTGTCTGTATAGTAGAGCTTATACAAGTACTTGCGTCATAGAGTTGGGACAGTTTGATGAAGTTTTAATAATACGTGGTTCTCAATATATGTTAACTGTTATTATCCATATTTTTTAAGGTAAGTAAAAAAGAATAGTAGAGTCAGTCATTCTGAGCTTAGTAGTGTTTTGTTGATAACTTTTACGAAAAGGTCTGTTTCTGCAAAGACAAAATAGTATTTAATATAAACATGTTTCAAGCAGTAGTACTTAAGGTTAGCCCCTAACTTTAGGGGATGTAACCTCTTAAAATTATCTGAGCTTATAGACTCACTGATAATTTTTTAAATGTAAGGAGTTGAACAGTTGGCATAGCGGTGAAGAGGCAGAAAGTAGGACTTGGGTGAAGCGCATGGACTTTGCAACCAGACTGTGTGTGTTTGAATTCTAGCTCCTGCCTTCATTTACTCTGTGACTTTGGACAGGTTACTTGAATTTTTCGGTGCCCACCTTCTTCATCATCAGTAAAATAAGGATAATACTAGTATCTGATTCTTGGAGTATTTTGAAAGGTTCAATGAGTTTATATATGTGTATTTACAGTTCCTAGTATATAGTAAATGTTAATCATAATTGTTATCAATTATTCTGCAAAGAAAAGTCAAATGGCACCTTTTTCTGCCTTAAAGTCATTTTGACTCAGCTTTGGCTCCCACAATAGTAATTGTAATAATTCCCATTTGTTGAGTATCTCCTGAGTGTCAGAGGTTACCAAAAGACTGCTTAGTTCCTAAAGCTTACAATTCTATCACTTAGGTGTATTGTATCTGTTTTACACATGTGTGTAACTGTACTTTGAAATTTAATTGTACTTTTGAAATCATATCCATCAGATTGTTTTGATGTTAGGTGTCAGAAAATAAAATGTATGTGTGAATACATTCAACAAATACAATTAACTAAAACTGAAATTTAAAAACATTGAGAACAGGGTTAACATCATAGTATTGGAACTACCACTAGATTAACTGAGGGATATTTCCTCCTCCCAGGCACTGATTTACTGTTAGAGCAATAATGTGCAGGGAATATGCAAATTAACACAATAAGCATGGTTTTACTATAAAAGGAAAATTAGAGAGGCTTTCTTAGGTTATGTGGGGGGTTTTGTTGTTGTTTTTTGCCATACTGAGGACTGAACCCAGGGCCTTTATATTGAGCTACATTCCAGTCCTTTGTTAATTTTAAATTTTGGGTCAGGATTTTGCTAAGTTGCTCCGACTGTGATTAAATTTGCAGTCTTCCTTCCTCAATCTCCTGGAGTGCAGGGATTACAGGTGTGTGCTGGCATTCCCAGCTGAAAGTTTTTTAAAAGGAAGGACTGAAATTCTGTTAAGGACTGAATTGTTATGTGTTATATCTGATAATAAAGATTGAATGACAATTTCTAGTTAATGTTTGTGTTCTTTTTTTAGTTGCTCCATACTATTGCATGTATAGTACTGTATTGAATTAGGGCTCTATGGCATTACAGATTATCCTTATTACTTAATGATAGTTTAAAGTAAGATTTTTTTTGTCTTAAAATGGTATGAGAGTGATTCAGTCACTAGAACTCATATTTTGAATTTTGATCTTTCCCATGGCTTGTAATGTGCAGTATAATGCTCTTATTTCTGGTCATCCCAGTCACCCACACCATCATCAGGAGAAACAGCCAAAACTACAGTGTACTGTGTTGCTGATGTAGGATTCTCAGTAGGTTAGGTGTATTAAATGCATATTCAGTTGATATTTTCTATTTATGGTAAGTTTATTGGGACATAAGCCTGAGGAGTATCTGAATAGTTAACATGTACATTAGTCCAGTTCTTACCAACTTTTAGTGATATAACAATATCCTTTTTAATTATTGAGTGTTTATGTTCCCTGGAGCCACTGCTTATGTTAATACATAGCATTTGGTGTTAAATTTTTCCTTCCCTGAAAAGTAATGAAAAAAGTTTGTAATTTATATTGTAAGCAAAAATCTAAATTCATAATGAGCTTGTAGAATTTGATTTTTGTGAAGAGACTAAACAACACAAAGAGAAAATGGACAAAGGATTAAAAGCAGATTTTATTCACAGAAAAAAATGTTCAACCATACTTGTAAGGTGAATCTACATTAAATATACATCAGGTGTCTTTTCTTTCCTGTTTAATTGATGAATGTTCAGAGTTTGATAATATCCTCTGTTAGTAAGGTTGTAGAGAAATAGGCATTATCCTCCATTGTTTGAGCATTCACAAAGTAGAATGTCCACTGTGGGGAGGAATTTAACAGTATGTACTTATAAAAAGGTTGTAAATAGAATTCTCTTTGACCTGATTCTAGTGCTTGTAGACGTTTACTAGTATAGTGTTGGTCACAGTCTCCAAGTTTGGAAAGACCTAAAAACCAAACAGTTGTTTTGCTTTTAGTTTTATTTTATGATCAGCCCTCAGATTCATTTGACATCAAATCCTAACTGAAGAGCCCCGCGCACCTACCAGGTATTCCTGCCTTTTGCTTGCTAATACTGTTTCACTTTTGTTGTTCTTTTGTTACTTTGGATTTCATTGCATATGAAAACATCAAAAATGGTTTAACCCTGTGAGTAATAATGAAAATAAATGAACATCTGTTATTAACAGCACAGTGCATGATATGTCTGTGAGGCATCCTATTGAAGAAGACAGTGTGGGAACCACCACCATGTGATATAAGGAAGACAGAGATTGTTTTACAGTGTAGCAGAGACCAAGAACTAATGAAAAATAGGAAAAATTTTCTGTGGGACAGAAAATGAAGCTCCTAACTATGTTTGATTAAGCATATTTGACAGTAAGGAAGTAAATAAATGCCACTCATTGCTGTGTTGATCACGAAACAACCTAGTATATATGAAGAACTGCCACTCAGGAAGAATTGTAGCTTTAAGAAGGAAGGATTCAGGGGCTGGGGATTCAGCTCAGTGGTTTCGCCAAGCAAGGACCCGAGTTCCATCCCAGGTACCAAAATTTAAAAAAAAGGCCGGGGATTTAGCATTGCAAGCACAAGGTCCGTCCTGAGTTCGATCCCAGTACCAAAAAAAAAAAAAAAAAAGTAAGGATTCAGAAATTTAGCCAACAGTGTGAAAGTGTAGCAAAGACTGAAAGCTTTATTATTCCTAGTCAACTCTGTGACTTTATGGTAAAAGTAATGTTACTGGCATTTATTTCTTCCATCCCCACCTCCAAACACAAACATGTTGTGACTGGAATACTGGCAAAAAAAACAGACCTGAGGACCAGTGGAACAGATTAGAAGATGCAGGCACAAGCACCCCGCCCACGCGGTGCAGACGACGCACACCACCAGAGACTGCGCGGCATCTGAATCCACACAGCAGAGGTGCTAGGGGGAACATAAAGGCCATGGTTATGAGCCCCAGAAGATAGAGCAGAAGTGAACAACAGAGAGGGCCTTTTGATGCTCAATGAAAATTGAAGCCCACTGGGAAAGTGAAAATCTCTTCAATAAAAACACACTAGACCATCGTGGTTGTGAGGGTGTTTGGCTCCTTTATCAAAGATGAGAGGGCTGAGTGTGTCTGGCGTTGTTTCGGCATCTTCTCATCCGTTCCACTGGTCCTCAGTTAATTCCAGTTCTGCCAGAGTCACTGCATCAGCTATGAGTTCCCCGGTGATGGCAAGAGGGCTGCAGCAGTACCTGGAATCAAGTCCTCTAACAGCCATATCCCAAAGCAGGAGAGATATGGAGAGAAAAAAGCTATAAAGAAAAAAAGAAGAAAAAAAGACAAAAGACTTGAATGACTTCAAACATTACAAACATTGAACATTCCATCATGTCTTCTATCAGCCTTCTCTGCATCTTCTCTGTTTTATTTTGTAAGATGTAGCTTCTCTTAAGAGGCATTATCTTGCAATAACTTGTACGTGAGCATTTTCAGTCCAGGAAGCTCTTCCTTCACACAAATGTGCACATATTATCCCAGTTTAAATCCCATTTGCAAAGGGAACATTTATGTCTTGATTGAATGCTTGACTTCCAGTGGCAGGGTATTGAAAAGGTAATGTTTCCCACTGAGCCTGCTTTCCTTGTGTTTTGGACACTGGCCCAGCTGGGCTGGCAGGTGGTCCTGGCAGTTGCCCTTCAGC